TTATCATGCATGAATATATAAAAAAATACTCAAAATAACAAAAATAATAATATGTAAAAAAATTTAAAAATTCAAAAAAAATTATTTTTTACTTGAACCGAACCATTGCGGTTCAGTTGGATCGAAAAGGATTCGATTTGGCACACAGTTCGGTTGAAAAGGTTCAAATCGGTTTGCTGACGGTTTATTTGGACCACCTGTAGGTTGGCTGAGGCGGATTGGCAGGTCAGTTTATGCGGATCTCAGGTTGGGTAACGAGCACGCGTGAATCCTTTTACGCTCAAAACGATGTCGTTTTGGGCTTTAGGCTTCTATATATAGCTATTTTTTTTTGTTCATTTTTCTTCTGTTCCAGAAAAAAAGGTTAGAGCTTTGAGGAGAGCTCTTCTGCCGTCTGGTCGCTAGACAGATGCATCGATCATCTCTTGGGTCACCGTCGACGGTGGTCGTTGGTGATCGTCGATGATCGAAAATTCCAAAACTGACCAGAAGGTTCCTTTTGACCTCTTGAATTTAGATCTATCATCTTTTTCATGAAAAGGAACCCCGATCGTCGTAGATCTGGGCTTGAAGTTTTTTGTGTTCTTTTTTTTATTTTTTTGTTTGGAAACTAACTGATGCTTTTTTCTTTGGTGCAGGTGGCTCGATGATGGGTTTCTCCCTACCATGAGGACTATGTTTTTATTTTTTTTTGTCTCTTTTTTTTTGTTATTATTTTGGTTGTGGAATATTTTAAAGTTTCTAGGGTGGAAGGGAGCAGTGTTTGGGTTTTTTGTGTGTGGGAGTTTTCATGTTTTTTGGGATTTTTTTAGGGTGTTCAAAGCTTTTTTTCTTTTTTTCTTCTATTTTTTGGTAGAGGAAGTTAGGGGTTTATAGAATTAGATGTATGTTCAAGAAGGTGGTATAAAGGTTATAGGGATGGTTGTAGGGGTGGCAAAGGTCATAAGCATCGCTGGTCTGATAGGACTAGTCTGGTGGCTGGTCTGGTTAAGTCACAAGCGAGGTTGGATGGGGCCAAGGTGGTTGGTCACAAGCGTGGCTGGGTAGTTGGCTAAATGGGGTCGGCAGAGCCACCATTTTTTTAATTTTTTTAATGAATTTTTAATAATTAATTGATTTTTAATTTTAATTAAACCAATTTTATTGTTATTATTATTAAAATCATTATTGTTATAAAAAAAATGTAGACCGAACAAAATCGGTGTCTACAACTGCCCCTCTTTGTACATTACTGAGAATCAGGAATAGGATAAAGACAAAGACAACGATTTTGTCTGGAAGCAAATCATGGATTTCTCAAAAGTTTTTCTTTTTGTATTTTTTGTTTTAATTTTTAACCACAGGTCGAGTGATAAAGAGAATGATCGAGACAACACTGCGAGTCGATAAATAAAGAATCGATCGGGATAACACCATAAGTCGAGAAGTAAGAAAAGATGATCAGGACAACATCGTGAGTCGAGGAACAACAAGATCGAGATTAAACTTGGGTTGAATCAAGTTAAAAAATAAGGAGACCGAGATTAAATTATGAGTCAAAGAATAATGAGGATCAGATTAAATCATAACTTAAAAATAACGAGATCGAGATTGATCTGCAAGTCAAGAAAAATAAAGAGACTTGGATTAAACTGCAAGTTAGAGAATGAATGAAGATCGAGATTAAATCGTGACTTAAAGTAAAGAGATTGGAGATTGAACCATGGGTCGATAAAATAAAGAGATCGGGATTAAACCTCAAGTCAAAGAAATAATGATGATCGGGATTAAACTACGAGTCAAAGATTAAAGACAACTAGGACTAAACCGTAAGTTAGAAAATAGAAACAATCAGGATTAGACCACAAGTCAGGAAACCATAAAAATGATCGGGATTGAACCACAAGTCAAAGATTAACGACGACTGAGACTGAACCACAAGTCAGAAAATAGAAATGACCGGGATTAAACCGCGAGTCAAGAAACTATAAAAATGATCGGGGTTGAACCATGAGTTAAAGATTAATGACGATTGAAACTGAATCGCAAGTCAGGAAACAAAGTTACTGAGATTAAACCACAAGTCGAAAACTATAGAAATGACTAGGATTAAACCATAAGCCAAAGATTAACAATGACTGGGACTGAACCGCAAGTCAGAAAACTATAAAAATGATCGGGATTGAACCACGAGTCAAAGATTAATGACGATTGAGACTGAATCGTAAATCAAAAAAATAAAAGTGACTGGGATTAAACCACAAGTCGAAAACTATAGAAATAACCGAGATTAAACAACGAGCCAAATATTAACAATAACTAGGACTGAACGCAAATCAGGAAAATAAAAATGACTGGGATTAAACCACAAGTCAAAAAATAAAAATGATCGAGATTAAACCACGAGCCAAATATTAATAATGATTGGGACTGAACCATAAATCAAAAAAATAAATAAGACTGAGCTATGAGTTGAAGGGGATTAGGTACCCTATAGATTGACAGTTTTAATTTTAAGGATTGTGCTAACATACCATCTTTAGGGCCATCATCTTTATTTTGAAAAAGAAAAATACCGATTCTCCCTGATGTCTCATAAAGAAACCTTCTATGCAACTTATCAAAAGGTATGTAATGCGTGCAATGATTATGATGAATGAAAAGATAAATATGCCGTCAACGAATTATATCATGCACTTTTATCCAAGTTAATTCAACTTTTGGTTCGATTCTTTCAAAATTTAAAAGTCGCTTTCAGTAATCTTATCCTTTTAAATCTTTCGATTTTGGACCAAAAATTTCTATCTTATGATGGGCCTATTTGGCTTTTAGTCACTTTAAAATCTTCTTTTCTTTTGAATTCTTTCTTTATCCCCTTTCTCTTCTTTGTTTTTAACTCCATTTCATTCTTTTTGCCCCTATATTACTATTTTTGTCATCCTTATATTGCATTCTATTTTTGAACGGTGCATTGGTTTATTATGAACTTTATCAATCACTATCTTAATTTTAAATGACAGATACAATAATTTCAAGTTCAAAGTTAGGTGTTAAACACAATCAGTAATTAAGTATTTTGGATTTAGAAAGATAAGCCTTTCGAGACACAAAGAATAGTTAACTCAAAAGTATTTTAAGAATCATATATCAATTCTCTAAATGATGAACATTTGAATGATCTCGACCTACTCAGACTAGGTCTTTTCCAAAAACTCATTACATTTGCGATCTTGTCACATCTTATTTCATATAACCAATCCTTGCCCCACATTTGTGACTAATGAGAACTTGCCCCATAAAAGTCATCTCTTTTAATTCTGGCGACAATTCATCCTTTTGGTGCCAATCTTTCATTCTTTGAAAGACTTTTTTCAAGCTCCACCTTAATTCAAGATGCTTTTTCATGTTTTCAGCTTAAATGATCCATTTTGATTCAAACTACCCTTTTCAAGTTTTCATTTGAATAACTTTTTTTTTTTTTTTGTATTTTTTTCATCTTTTTCTTTTTTTTTTTTGCATCTTTTTCTTTTTCTTTTTTTTAAGCAAAATATTTTTTGATAGTGTCTAAATTTACAAGATTTGACAATTCATTACCGTCCATTTATGTGAGGATCAGAGCTCCACTAGAGAATACCTTTTTTACCATATATGGACCTTCCTAATTGGGTGTCCATTTTTCCCTATTATCATGTTGGTATGGCAAAATCCTTTTTAAAACCAATTTGCCCTCATGAAAGCACCAAGGTTGTATCTTTTTGTCATGTGCTCACTTGATTTTTCTTTGGTATATTTGCCCATGGATGAGCATCGAGAGCCTTTTCTCTTCAATAAGATTCAATTACTCAAAACAATCATGAACCCAATTTGTTTCGTCCAATACCTCCATTAACACTCTCAAAGAAGGAATTTTCACTTCAATTGGTAATACAACTTCCATCCTATATACTAGCAAAAAAATGGTGGCCCCTGTGGAGGTTCGAATTAATGTTCTATAAGCAAATAGGGCAAAGGGTAATTTTTCATGTCAGTCTTTATATGTATCAGTCATTTTCCCTAATATTCTTTTGATATTCTTATTCCCAGGTTCCACTACACCATTCATTTTTAGGCGACATGGTACCGAATGATGATGCTTTATCTTGAACTGTGCATACAATTTTTTCATCATTTTATTGTTCAAGTTGCTAGCATTATCCGAGATAATCTATTCTGAAAGACCGTACCGACATATTATCTCCTTTTTTATAAATATATACACCACTGATCATGTAATACTAGCATACGAAGCTGTTTTTACCTACTTTGTGAAGTAATCGATTATCATGAAGATAAAACGATGCTTATTCCAAGCTTTTGGGGTTATGGGTCAGATCACTTCCATTCTTCACATAGAGAAAGGCCATGGTGGTGCCAAGACATGCAGTGAGACTGGAAGAGAATGAATTTTATCTGCATAAATTTGACATTTATGGTACTTTCTAGCATAATTGATGCAATTATTTTCCTTTATAGACCAATAGTAACTAGCTCTCATAATCTGTTTGGCCATCATATGCCCATTAGCATGTGTTCATAAATTCTTTCGTGTACTTCTTCAAGTATTTTTCTTGTTTCAACGGCGTCTACACATCTTAGCAAGATTTGGTCTCGACTCTTTTTATACAAGATTTCTTCATCAAGCACAAACCCTGCTGCTAATCTTTGGATGATCCTCTTATCATTTTCTGAGGCCTATTTAGGTAGTTTTGGTACTTGATGTACTACACAATGTCATAGTACCATGGTTTCTGATCTACTTCTTCCTCTACATTCGAATAGTGGGTCGATAAATCTTTCATTTGTATTTTGATGGGCTAGATTTTCATACTATCATTTAATTTGAACATTGTTGCCAAAGTAGCCAAAGCATTAGCAATCTGGTTTTCTTCTCGAAAAACATGCTAGAACTAGATTTTTTAAAATTATTTTATCAAGCTAGTTATGTGCCTTTGATATAACACTAGTTTCAGGTCCCTAGTCTCTCATTCGCTTTTCAGTTGATAAATTACTAAAGCTGAATCCTCATATACTTTTAGTGTTTCAATCTTCTTTTCAATGGCCATCTGTAACCCTATGACACATACTCCATATTCTGTAACGTTATTGGTGCAATTAAAGTCTATCGTTACAGTATAAAGGTAGTAATTTCCTTCTGGGGATATTAGCACTACCCCAATGCCATGTTCTATTATATTGGATACCCCATCAAAAAACATCTTCCATACTTTTCTTATAGGCTCTTCGACTTCATCTTGTAAAATTGGCATTAAGTTTTCATTCGAAAACTCAAACTTCATAGGCTTATAATCTTCTATAGCTCGATTTGCAAGAAAATCAGCTATCCTTTTTATAGACTTTTGTGTCACATACACAATATCATATTCCAAAAGCATGACCTGCCATCTCGCTATCCTGCCTGATAAAGATGGTTTCTCAAAAATATATTTAAGGGGATCTAATTTTGATATCAACCGAGTTATATGATAGAGTATATACTGCCTGAGTTTACGAGTAGTCCAAGCTAAGGCACAACATATTTTTTCTATTTGGGGATACTTGGCCTCATACTCCGTAAACTTTTTACTCAAATAGTAAATGGCATGCTCTTTCTTACTAGTTTCATCTCTTTGCCCCAATACATATCTCATTGATTTTTCTTGAACTGTTAGATATAAAATTAACGGCCTTCCTGCAACTGGTGGTACTAACACAAATGGGCTTGTTAAATACTTTTTAATCTTTTTAAAGGCATTTTGGCATTCTTCATCCCATTTACTAGGATTATTTTTATTAAGCATCTTAAAGATTGGATCGTATTTTGAGGTGAGTTGAGATATAAAGCGAGAAATATAATTAAATTGTCTAAAAAAATCTTTTACTTCTTTTTGTGTGTGCAGCACTGACAACTCTTGAATGGCTCGAATCTTATCAGGGTCTACTTCTATACATCTTTCACTAACTATAAACCCAAGAAGCTTTCCAGATTTAACACCAAAGGTGCATTTGGTTGGATTCAACTTGAGTTGGTATTTTCGCAATCTTTCAAATAGCTTTATGAGATTATCAACATGATCTTGACCTTCTTGAGACTTAGCTATCATATTATCAATATATACCTCTATCTCTTTGTGTTTCATATCATGAAAAAGAGTGACCATCACCCTTTGATGGATGGCACCAGTATGACTTTATAGCAAAATATGCCCCACATAGTCACAAATGTGATTTTCTCCATATCTTTACAAGCCATTTTGATTTGGTTATAGCTAGAAAAACCATCCATGAATGAAAAAGTAGAGTGCTTAGCAGTGTTATCCACAAGGGTATCAATATGTGACAACAGGAAATTATTCTTTGGGCTAGCCTTATTCAAATCTCGATAGTCCACATACATTCTAACTTTTCCATCTTTCTTAAAAACTGAGACTATATTGGCTACCCATTCAAGGTACTTGGCTACTTTTAAAAAATCAATGTCAAATTACTTTTTTACTTCCTCTTTTATCTTTAGTAATATTTTTGGCTTCATGCGTCTCAACTTTTACTGTACCGATCGACACTCTGATTTTAAGGGCAATCTATCTTCAATCACCTCTATGCTAAGTCCAAGTATATCTTGATAGGACCACGCAAATACATCTACATATTCTTGTAGTAACTTCACCAGTTTCTGTTTCTCGATTGGTGATAATGAAGTATCGATCCTAACTTTTTTTATTCTTATTGTCTCTCAAATTTAATATGTTAGTCAATTCTTGATGGGGTTCTATAATTTTCTCCTCTTGCTCCATCCATTTCAATAGATCTTGAGGTAAATCATAGTCTTCTGAATCAACATCATTATCAAGCTCGCTAATGTGAATCAAATTTTCAAAATCAAACCTGGTGTTATTGCCTTGGTCATCCATAATGTTCATTATTAGAAAACCTGAAAATGGGTATAATCACAAAAAATCTTAATAAGGGCAAAAAGGATAGCAATGAAAAAGGAAAGTAAAATGAAAAATAGAGAACATAGTATACATGAAATGCATTACATCCATCATTTTATTAAGACAATGAAAATAAGCTCATACATTTAACTTTCGCATGCTCTTGGGCAGAAGCAATTTGAATTTTTGGGTTAAAAAGTTCAAGAATAACAAAAACGGTACACCATTCTTAGATCTTTTAACCTAAAAAGAGAAAAAGATCTCTTCATCTTGCATGACTCCTTCATCTGCTCTAATTTAAAATTAAGAGAAGGATTCTTCTAATCCTGTTACTGGTTTTCTTTGTTCAACCTCCATTGATCTAGGATAGATATGCCCACCTAAACGAAATGTTTTATACAAGTAAGGGAACATCATTTTTTTATCAATCGAGTATTGCCCTTTGAGGTATGCCATTCTCTTTTTTTTTTCAGCATTATGATCTTTTATTAGTAATCGTAGACTTATAACCTAACCCCATCTTTTTTTATTTTCTATTGAGCATGGTACTTTTATGATTCCTTGTAGAGCTTTTCCTAAGCCTTGCCTAGTTTGCCAACCTTTGCCAATAGTCTATCTGATCACCATGTCTATAGTTTTTGACAATTGAGGGATTGGTAACTTTGACCCTTCTTTGACATAAGTAACATTTGCTACTTCAAAAGCTCTGAATGAACATTTGATTGCTTATTCTACAGCCTCAATGTAAGGAGTAGTTAAGGTTTTTGTTACTAATAAATCTTTCTCACCATCAACATAGACTTGTTTCTCTTCCACAATAAATTTTATCTTCTGGTGTAGAGATGAACGTATAACTCCGATCGTGTGAATCTAATGTCTTCCCAGTAGATAATTATATGCAGGAGTTATGTCCATTACTTGAAATAGAACATTAAAGGTACAAGGATTGATCTGCAATGGGATCTCTATATCACCAATTACCTCTCTTCGTGCTCTATCAAATGCTCTTACAATTATGTGACTATTTCATATGTAAGAGGAATCTACCGAGAGTCCAGTCAATGTCATTAGAGGCATGACATTAATGAAGGATCCATTGTCAATAAAAACTTTAGCCATAATGTATGTTTTACATTTTACAGTAATATGTAAGGCCTTAATGTTACCTCATCCTTCTAGAGATATTTCGTCATCATTGAAGGTGATGAAATTCAGGGTTATGATATTCTCAACCATGTGATCTACTTTTTCAACAAAAATGTTATGCTCGACATAAGCTTGGTTGAACACTTTCAGTAAAGATTCCTATGCGGCTCAAAATTTAATAGTAATGATAGTAAAGAAATATGAGTTGATAGTTTGTTTAGTTGGTCAATCACACTGTATTCACTATGCTTAATGATCTTTAGAAACTCACAAGTTTTTTTTTCTAACACTAGTTTGTTAATCTGTACTATCGAGCTTACCACTAGGTGAGAATCTTGGCTTTCCCTTATGTTTTCTTCTCTTATCTTATCTTTCCCTTTTTTAGCCTTTTTTGACATTTCAAGAGTGTAAATCCGACCACTTCAAGTCATTCCTCCTATTCATGCTATGTTGGTAGTATTCCTCATACTTGGATTATTTGAGGTCACATCAGGGCCTCGTATCATAACATCATAATTATATTTCCATGGGACTGCTTTATTGGTCTGATAAGGGAATGGACTAGGGACATAAATAGTCGTTGGTGTCCTGAAATAAGAACGACTTTCTCAGTTAGGGGCTATGATTTCTTATCATAGTAGTTAGTGAGAGGTTTGGGTCTAAAAGACTTGCCAGGATGCTCGTTACCCATTGTATTCACACTGCTTTCATCACATTCATCATAAAACTTAATGATAGTTTCATCCATCAAGCTCTACAAGATTCATTTAAAGGCCTCACAACCTTGGATCGAATGTCCAACTGATCCTCCATGGTACTTACAAGAATGGTTGAGATCTTCATAACTTCCATTGTTATCCAAAAACAATGGTTGAATCATACTCATTTCGCATAAACAGTCATACACCTATTCAAAAAGAGTCTTTGTTTCATACACAAATTTTTTTTATCTTTACATCTTTTTTCCTTACCCACCATATTAATTTTTCCTCCGGTGTGATCTGGCAAAGGGTTTTCACTGACACTTGGCATGAATTTGGTGTCAAAAGTTAAAAGGCCATCATTTATCAGACCTTGCACCTTATGCTTAAATGCCATGCAATTTTTAATAGAGTGTTCTATAACACCATAGTGATAATCACACTTAGCGTTAGGGTTGTACCAACTCGGGTAAGGTGATTTTAATAGCTTTACGTAGAAAGGAGTGATAAGATGATCTCTCACTAACTAAAAGTACAAATCGATATGAGACATAGGAATTCGATCAAAATGAGGTCTTTCCCGATTGTTGTTATTTTATCGGTTTCTTTGATTATTGTTTTGGTGGGTTGGTTAGGTGAATGGTTGAGTTGGAGGTGCAGAAGTGTAATAGGATGATTAGGGACTAAAGCTTGGTCTGGACAATGGTTGTTGGGGTGCTCGGTAAAGATATGGTTGTTAAAAAATTTGGTTGGTAGTAGGGTAGTAAGGAGGGTATGAAAAGTTTGGATTATATAGGACAAAAGGATGGTACGAGAGATTTTTATGAGTGATAGCATGTGTCTCTTGCTCTTTCTTTTTTGAACTTGTTATTTTCTTTTTGGGTCCTTCAATTTTGCCACTTTTGATAGTGTTCTTTATCATTTCTCTCGAGATTACCATGTCAGAGAAGTTTTTCATGGCATTCCCTATGAACCTATTATAGTACAGGGCTTTCAATGTGTTAACAAATACCACAGTTATCTCATTGTCAGTCAGTGGTGGTTGGACTTGGGTCGCTGTATCTTTCCACTTATATGCATATTCCTTGAAGGTTTTCATTGATTTTTTTTTCATATTTTGTAATGACAATCTATCAGGGGCTGTATCAAGAACATGCTTATACTGAGCAATAAAAGTTTTGGCCAAGTCTTTCCATGTATGGATTTTACTCCGATCTAACTACACATACCATCTCGCTGATGATTCGATTAAACTGTCTTGAAAACAGTGTATTAAGAGTTTGTCATTCTAGGTATGACTTGTCATCTTTCAACAGAACATGGTAATGTGAGCAAAAGGATATTTTGTTTCATCATATTTCTCAAAGTCTGGGGGTTTAAATTTGGACGGGATAACCAAATCAGGTACCAAGCTCAGCTCATTAGTGTCAACAACCCCGTAGATATCATTACCTTCCACTGTTTTGAGCTTTTCTTTAAGTTGATCATACTTGTTTCATATTTTTGAGTTTATAATGGGCTCCGACATTTCACAGGACTTTCCTGTTCAACTGGTTCATCAAGATTTAGTACTATGGTGGGATCAGCTAGGATAGGCCCCACATTAGTATTTAAATAGATCGATTGTTAGCTAGCATAATGATTGACATAGAGGTATGGTTGCACACTTGGTGGGCGTATGTGTATGCCACGAGGGGTTTGAGGTGGAGTGAATCCAGGAGGATAGAGTTGTTTTTCCATATTAACTTCTTCCCCTGTCCTTGATGCCCAAGTAACTTCTTTACCTTTCATTGAACCAGTCAATAATTGTCTTAATTCAGCCATTTGGGCTTCGATACTTTGTTGTATCTCTATCACTCTTTCTCTTAT